GGAAAAGCATCACTGATAAGAATGGAGGCTATTTAATTTAATAAATGTTTTGTTTTGATATATAAGTTGTTCGGTTTTTTTCATTTAAGAAAAGTGCCATTAATCTCTTGAGGATCTAATAAATTGAAACTGCTGAATTGAACAAATTTTTAACTCTAAGATATGAATGACTCAGAAACACTAATTTGTAAATGTCTTTAAAATCCTTTATGTACCTACTTTTAACATTCAGTGGACAGTCTGTCTACTTTTTTTTTTTTTGCAGACCTTGTAAGACATGATAAACATGTGAAATATATGTATCTAATGTGAGTATAGTTGAAAGTATGAAGTACTAGTTGATGAAAAGAATTTAATAAAGTTAATATTATTACATGGTATGTTTCACCAGTGTTAACCTGGCATTGTTAGGTGACAAAAGCACAGGGAAGTTGAAAAAAAGAACAATGTAAAGTGCAGAAGCAGAGACAATTCAAGTTTTTTAAAAGTATCAGTGGTTGAATAAATTGTAGATGAACGAATTTTTCCAAAGTACATACTGATAACAATCAACTTTAAATACAATGCTATCAAGAAGAAGGGGACTAATTAACCTAACAGCAGAAACAAAATGGTCTTCGTCTTAGCTTACGACTCAACAACCTTAAAATAAAGTAATAATAACAGTTAGAAAAGAACTGATAAGAAATTTCAACTCAATGCTAATATATTGCTCCTCACATTCTACCGGAACCAAGCTAGCCAATATTTTTATCAAAGAAATTCACCAAGAGTGAAAGTAATCCATTTAATTTCCTTTATGAAGTCCCATGTTTGGACTACCTATTAAACTATATATGAGTAACTGAAAAAAAAAAAGCTTTAAGATGTTAGAACATAAAAGGAGTTTATTGCACATTCATGACCATTCCATCCATTTTCTAAAACTTCAAATCTATGAAACTGACCCTACAAAAAGAAAAATCATAAAAGCGGTCGGCTTTAGTAAAAACAACACTCAGGTGCTCCACGTTATTTATTTCCCAGTGACTTTTAATTATTCTCCTTTACTCCAGTTAAACTCAATTGCTTTAAAGTGCATGACTGTCTTATAACCTCTCTTCTCCGTGACATCAAATGTGACTTTTGTTACCATTTACCCAACGATTACACTTGATTGGACAGTTTATCAAACACTGTTGAAGCTTTTCAAAAATCTGGATTTTCTGTGTTTCTACATTTTATAGTGGTCTTTTTGTTTTCAACTTCCTTGTGCTTTTGTTGCCTAACGGCATCAGGTTAACACTTGCAAAATGTCATGTATGATATCAACTTTGTTCTCATCATTAAGTGCTGCCAATTTAAATTTGTTAAAGTTTGTACTTAGCCCTCATTTCAAATGTAATGAGTGTATTTATGCCCTTAACAATTAAAGATTAACCATATATTATCACACCAGAGAAAATTGTTGTCTCATTCATTCCTGATCGTTTTATTATTTTCTAATCTTTCTGTGTTATTAAAGGTAATTTTTAAAAATTCATGAATAAATGTCTGTTAACTAAAATATAAGGCCTGGCATGGCCAGGTGGATAAGGCGCTCGACTCACAAACTGAGGGTCGCGGGTTCGAATCCGCATACCACCAAACATGCTCGCCCTTTCAGCCGTGGGGGCGTTATAATGTGACGGTCAATCCCACTATTTGTTGGTAAAAGAGTAGCCCAAGAGTTGGCGGTGGGTGGTGATGACTAGCTGCCTTCCCTCTAGTCTTACACTGCTAAATTAGGGACGGCTAGCGCAGATAGCTCTCGTGTAGCTTTGCGCGAAATTCCAAAACAAACAAACAAACTAAAATATAAACAAAAACTATCTTTTATAGAGAATTTTAGGTATCATGTGATAATTATGCAGAATTTGTTGAAACTGTTGACAGAGAAGAACAATTGTAATGGTTTTCAATTGAGATTTATCTAGACTTAGTTATGCATGTGAAATATTATCTTGAGAAAATCACAAGGAAAGTACTTGCATGGTCATACATTTGTCCACAGAATAATATGTATGAAATGCATTACACATATGTTTTGTGTTGAAAAATTGAGAAATGGATGTGTACAATAAGTAAATCATGTCACATTTGTAATTTTTTGTTTATAGATACATATGTTATTAATGTTTTCAGATAAAGAAATATTAAAAATTTGTATTTTAATTATGGTCTTCAAGTTTTAAAACTTGTAGATATTCCCTTGTACAAAAGCTATATTCAGACTTCAGTATGAACAGGTTGTTGTAATAGTGTTTGTTTGATTTTTTTTTTCAGAGTGAGGAAATTTTTTTAGACATGTTTGAAGATGAGTATCATGAAATGAAGGTAAGAAATAAGGAAATCAATAAGAGACTGCTTGAAATAATGAATATGAAACTACGTTGATATAATTTTTGTTTAAGTTTTTCATATTAGAACATGTTAAATATTTCTTAAGATCCAGTGTAAGCAGATATTCCTGTGCTTTTAATAACATGATCAAGAGCAATGAAACATTAACATTAAATTTAACTTTAGAAACAAATTCTTCTGCAAATTTTTTTTACATATACTGATCTCGTGTTAAAGTGTTGTCTGTTTTTTGTTGTTTTTTTCCATACTGCATGCTTACAAAGAATTATAAACAGCAACAAACACCACTTCAAAAAAAAAGAATATTTGATTTGTTTAGGAAGGGATTTAACACTTTTTTTCTTTCTTATTTATTACTTTAAAAATGAAATATTTCTGTTTAATTTTGGTGAAGATTTTTCTTGGGTTAACAAAACTGTTTTAAAGGTTAGCATAGAAATGTCCATTAAACTTAATGATTCATTCTAAATGTAAGAAACTAGATAAATTATTGTGTTAATGCTATCAACAGAAACGACCTCTAAATGTTGAGTATTTGATGATGGACGATAAGCTTCTTTTACCACCCACGGGCACTCCAATGTCTGGTGTAGAGTTCCATAAACGTCTTCCTTGTGGAGAAGTGGAGAGGGCAAGACGGGTATTTGTTATTTTAGTATCTGTGACAAAATATAATAACATAAACTATATCAGAAACATTAATTTATAAGTTTTCATAACATTTTAAAGGAAAACACTTAAATTCAGTAGTTTAGTGTTATTTTTGTTAATGAATAACTTTATCACAATTCAGTGTATTAATTTAAACATGTTAATAATGTCATAATAGTTGAAGTTCTACTTCCTGTAAGTCCAAATTTAAAATTACTATTAATATTTTACACTTACATTCCCGTATATTTTGCTTAAAATTTATTTTAATATATCGTTTCGCTTTCACTTCTACAGATACTTAGTAATGGAAGAGCTAAATGTAAATTTAAAATAAATTTCACATGAAAGAATGTTCAAACCACATTTTAAGTTTTATACAAGTTTGTAGGTGTACAATAGTTCTTATGCATCCTTAGTTTTATTTTCTGGTTAACAGGCGATCCGTGTCTTCTTCATCCTGAGAGATTTATCCCTCAGTTTACAAGGAGAGGTTGAAACACAACTGCCTCTGACAAACACAGCCAACTGTATTAAAATGAATGAAGTTCTCGATCTTAGTAAGTTCCTAGTAGCATTTTTTTTTTCTTTTTATTTCTGTCTTCTTTTAACAGAGCATGTTTGTGGAGCATTTTTAATTTTCTGGTAGTTACTTTTGTACACTAGTGAAACCATTAGATAGGCTCAAAAAACATGTTGAATTTTATTTTTCATTACAAAAACACAGTATCAAGGCACTCTCTTTTGTTTGTTTTATGTAGTTTTGTAAGTTAAGAATACATCAGCTTTCTTCCTCAATATCATGTATATTATTATCATTTCTTAACTATGTGTACAGAATTAGTCTGTTGGACCAAATCTCATATCTGTGAAGCTATACATAGTAATGATTTCCATAATTCTGAATTTACTGTATATATCTTCACCGCAAGCTTTTAGTAAACATTACAAGTCCATTGTGTACAAAAAAATCAGAATTTTTAATAAAGTATTTCTAATAAAGATTTGTCTGAATATTGAAATCCTTTATCGAGTCAATCTGAGTGAATGGTGATTTTCATACTAAATGTTAAAAAAGACTTCTTTCCATCCTACAGGTTTATATTTCCTTTGAATAACCCCTAGAACCTCCTTAATGAATATCAGAAACCTCTTATTTTCTCTATCTCAACATCAGCTGAAGCGAAATGATCAATGTATTATGAAAAGTAGAAAAATATGAAATAAATGCACCATTTTTCTTTCTAGAATGATTGCAAATTGTAATAGTATTTATTGTATAACCTTTTTCACATCTGCTTTTTTATGTTTATGGTTTAATTACTGTACTTTTGGGGTGTTGCATGAAAAGCAGTAAATAAAAGTGGAATGTTTCTGGTAGAGCTTAGGGCAAACTAACAATCAGGTTACAGTGATGTACTATGAGCTTGCCTTAAATATAAACTGAGCTCATGAAATTTAAAATTTATATCTCATTACCTAACCTAAACAAATTTCTAATTTTCGTATTTTAATTACTTTTGTTAAAAAATATACATAAAAAAAAGAAAAGAATATAACACTTACATCTGGATTTAGGTTTTTTGCACTTCGATGCCATGGCACAGTAACTACTTTTTTGTAAGTTAATTGTTTAAATAAAAATTCATTTAGCTTCCAAATATGTATTTTAAAACTTAAAAAAATAATTGGGTACTAGAATGGAATGTCTCTAAACTACTATATTTAACTGGCTTTCTAACTAAGCCATGAATTCGGAGTTGAACAGCAACGATCACATACAAAGATATACTGTCTATTTATGCCAGCCAAAATGAAGTAATAAGCTCTTTTGTAGGGTTAAAAATGCTCTTTCATTTGGTTATAAACATTTGTATAATATAAGGATGCAGTGGTAGATAAGTGCCTATGAAAGCTATGGAAAAATGGGAGGGACTTCTCTGGTGGGTTTAACAAATTTATTGATGTCTCGGCAAATTGGAAAAGAATGAGATTCAACTTTTATATTCTTGTTTATCACTAAATATAGTTTGTATTTATAATTGATTGGACACTTCAAACTATATTAAAGAAAGTACAAAATCTGTAGGGAAGAATTCAGAGTGTAAGCACATCATGTGACAAAAAGAAGTGAAGATGGAGAACTTTTTAAATATTTCCTTTTGATGTTAAGAAGCTAGTACTTGGGTAATATAAAAATTTGAATCATAAACTGTTTTGATTCCAATTTTATTGATGTACATTAATAACAAAGTTATTTAATTAAATTTTGAATGTATCTCTATAAAAGTTCATGACATGTGCACTCTGACCTAGTTTAGCACATAAGGTTAATGAATATTTAATGTGTAATGCAGAGCATTCAGATAAATGTTTCAACTTTTATTTTTATTAACACTTTCCTGTTTCATCGGTCATCAGAACATACTTCACCCATACTATGACTACAATTTTGTGAGTTTGTAATATAAAACTTAGTTTCTTATATTTTGCAAAAACAGATTCAGAAAGAAAGATCTATAAAAATTTATGCCAAAACAGTTTCTCGTATGTTTTTAACTAGACTTTGTTACCTCTCAAAAACAGAAAAACTCTTTACAAACTGGCAATACATATGAGATATTAAAGTACCTTTTCACAGGCCCCTATTGTGCATTGCTGTCTACTGTAGCTTTGCTTGTTCATTTTTTTTCTGTTGTTTATGATTACATTGACCTTTTTCACCACAACTTCAGCTTTGTTTTTTGTTTCTGGATTTTTTTTCTTCTGTCAATTGAAAGGGTAATATTTCTGAAGGATTTGTGACAGTGGAGTGCTTTAACTTGTTTACTATGATATGGCATGTTATACCAGCTGCTAGAAAAGCTAATACCTCTATAATGTGTTGTGGAAGGGCATGTTCACAGGACATTTGTGTTTTTATAAATGTAAAATTGAATAATTGATATAATGGGCAATTTTCAATTTAAACCCATCAGCCAGAGTTTTGAATATTTATCACATTATCTAGAAAATAAATGATAATAATTGGTTTAATACAAAGAATTGACTCAATATAAAATAATGATGTACAATTATAATAAACAGGTTTCATTGCTAATATTTTAGTAAGTTTATAAAAGAAAATAGAAAAATACTAAAATTAGGGATAGATGCCTTACTGTGATTATCTTCACAAAATGTGGAGCTAACTTTCCAGATAACAGCGACCTTATTGCATGTACGGTACTCACTAAAAATGGAGAGAAGATTCGCAGGTTCATGGTGATCGACATCCTTCAGTTAATCCTTGTTCAGCCTGACACTAAGAAGTTGGGATGGGGTGTTGCCAAATTTGTTGGATTTTTACAGGTATGTGGGCATTGTTACAAAACTGTTTTTTCACATTGATTGTTTTAGCAATTGTCCATTGTGTAGTTAAGGTTAGAGTGTCTAATGAAGGAATACATTCTCATTCTCATGATGATAATGTTGTGAACATTTAATATCTTGTTTTTTAGATCGTGAATTATTTTAAGAAATTTTATTCTGAAAAAATCATCTGAAAAAAATTGTTCTAATGCAGTTTAAGGTCTATCTATACCGTCCAGTTCATTAGTCTACGAATAAGGTCTTTGCAGTTTTCCTTAATAATAATTTTAAAATAGAATACTGTAAATAGTTGTGATGGGAGTCATCATTTTAACATAGTATTTGTTAGTAGGATATTGAAGTTGCTGGTGACAAAGATGATAGCCGATGCCTTCATCTCACTGTTCATCGACCTGCATCATCAGCAGGAGCTACAGCAGGGAATGGACGAACACCTCTACTAGCTGCTAGGTTTGTGTTTGATGACCACATCAGATGCATGGCAGCTAAACAGCGACTTACTAAAGGACGACTCAAAGCAAGACAGAGAAAATTACACCAAATAGCAAGATTATTAGAACTGCCTGAACACATTCAACCTTGTCCCTCTCCTCTCCGTCAAGGACTGCATGTGATTAGGGACACAGATAATCCTTCAGGTATGAACACTTGCTTATTTTCTTTTTATAAATATCACTGTATGCTCACTTTAACTTTTTATTGACACAAAAGCAACAAAATTTTTCTCTTGCTTGTTGAAGTAAAGAAAATATGATTAAACAAATTGTAGTTGAAAAGTTACTATATTTTGATTATTAATTAGTTGTAAAGTGTTCCACCATTTTTTTCTATGCTATTAAACTTGACAAAATAATTACTTCTCTTTGGAATTATTTTATTATAATCTTTACAATAGCCAGTGCATGTGATAATGTGTAACTTTTTGTCATATTTTGAAATATTTTTGCTATAATATATTAAGTTTATTTTATATGGATTTTTTTATTAGAATGTTTATAAAAGCAATTTTTTGTTTTGAAACCGACTGTAGAATTATTTATTTATTCAGGTCATTATGAAACTAAATGTTATAGGTGACTTTACTGGTAAAGAAATATTCTCTCATATCATATCATTCATATACAAAATATTTGTTTTAGTTGTTGAAAATCTACATATATTTTATCAGAATAAAATACACGTATCTATCTATATTTTTTACTATTATTAAACTGGTACGAAATAGTCCCACATTTAAAAACCAGAATTATAAATTGTATTAATTTACAAAGACTTGCATAGTAGTGTATGACAGAACCATAGTATCTGAATACTCAGATTTGTACCAATCTTAATGATATATATAGAATTTTATTGTGTTAGGAAAAACAGTGAACTTGCATCATTAGTATTAAGTCTGAGGGCTTATAACACAAAAAGTCAGGTTTTGATACTCATGGTTGGAACAGCACAGGTAGCCCATTGTGTAGCTTTATGCTTGATAATAAATATACACGATATTTTTGAAGACGTATGCAGAGTTGTATAACAATTAGAAAGTGATGATCAGAATTTTAAGTTCAGTTAGAAGTGTAAGTTTAGAAAGACACACAGAAATGTGTACTAGATGTAAAAAAAGGCACACTTAGAACTTCCAGGTTTGAAAAAACACATGCTTAGATTTACCATATTTAGAAAGAAACAAAATTATTTTAGATCTTAAAAGAGATATACTGAGATGTATGATCTTTAGAATAGCACATAGGATTGTCTTAATTTAGAGTGATGCAACAGAATTATGCTACATTTAGTTACGTATACATAGAAATGTACTAGATATATAAAACAAATACCTTTGCTTTATTTTAAATAATAAAATTACCGTTTGGTTTTTTTCAAAGTTGGGAATGTGATATGCGAGTATCTTTCAGATACGAAATCTAAAATGACTTTCCTTATTTCAGTAATACACAGAAGCCAATCACAAGACACAGGATTTCACAGTAAAGCATCATCCTCTAGTGGTAGTCAGGGCCCTTATCGTCCACTTTTTATATCAACAAACAGAGTGCCAGGATTTGCTACCATGATGAAACGAGAACAGAATTCTCTCCCAAGCTCAATACAGCATGAATCAAGTGGTGGTGAAAGGCAGCGTAGACCAAGTGGAAGTCCTTCAAGTCAACGACACTCCTCAATTCCCAGATCTCGAGATTCATCTCCAAGGCAACAACGGAATAGCAGTTCTGAAGAGATTCCACTAGAAGATCTTTCTAAGTCACGTTCTCGGCATAGTAGTCCTAACCTAAAGAGACAGAGTGCTTCTGGCTTACCAAAGGTAAAAACTCAAGGTCTAGAGGTAACTTATTACTCATTATTTTATTGAAGTTTGATTCATTTATACCAAAGTTACAGCCATTCTAGACCTTTTATTAAAAATCTTCTGTTACTTGATATTTTACCAAAGTTTTGATCAATGTACACCAGTGGTTCTCAATCTTTTTTGGCTCAGGACCCATTTGTAAACATTCACAATCAATAAAATTGCTTAGGAGCAAAAAGTATCTGGTTTACAAAATACTTAAATAAATAAATAAGTAAACTATTATCTATTTTTATTTATGACCCTTTCACACATTCTTATGGTCCAATTTTGGGTAATGACCTATGGTTTAAAAAAATGATGTAGAGTAAAGGTTTGGGAGATACAACCATTGTAAATTTAGAAGATTTTGAAATAATTTGCAATTTATGTTACTCTGTATTTTATTGAAACTTATTTTGATTTAACCCTCTTACTAAGTGCCCGTTCCAACTGTTTAGAGATTTACACTCAAAATTTAATTACACAACTTTATTATCATTGCATAGAATAAACTTGTCATCAAAACATAGTTAGTAAATCAAGTTTTAATCTATATATATAAAGCACAAAAATCTGTTTGTCTGTTTGTTTGTCCATTATCTAACTACTCCTAAGTCGCTGGGCCTATCTTAATCAAACTTTGTGAGATGATAGTTTGGAACAATGGCAGTGCTAATGGGAGGTTAACAACCCCTCCAGCCTCCATTATTGCTGTTATTGAGCATTTATGATCTTTGAAGTAAGTTAATGTTGACTGTACTAATAGATGGCATCACACCCTTACACAAAAAAATTAAATTTTCTATACCATAACATATACAAAGTGTGGGGGGGGGAGCACACAAACGTCTTATATATCTCAGATATATAGCACTTTCTATGGAGGAATGTAATGAAAAAAATGGTCAGCACCATTTCAATAATACTTAAACTCTGCTGAAGTTTCAACTCCAAAAGCCATAATAAGGCTGATATGAAGATCCATTTCTTGAGTTATACCAACTTCCTACTTTGATCAGTGACATTTGAACTTCAACCCGTAAGACACTTCTGCGGCCAATGACTGTCAGTTAATTAATCATGTGAAATACTGTAGAAGGACATTAAGAGTTAGGCATTGAAAACTGGTAACAGAAAGTTCCCATACTGCCACTACTTTAGCCATTACCTCTTAATACAAAGTCACCCTGACCATCGCACAGTGCACACCATGTTTTAAGTATATACATAGTGAGTTCTTAAAGCTTATACAAAAGTTTTGGTAAGGTAATAATGAACACTGTAATAATATGTTACATATATATATATATTGTGTGAAAGTTGGGATTTTTATGTTATTTATCACACCATCCATCCACACAGGTACTCCAGCTAGTTTAACATAAATTACTCTTGATAATATAAATATTACTTGATCAAAGCATAATTTTTATAGCCTTCAATCTTATTTTTTTACAGAGCCATAAACTAGAAAATCAGACCCATTTGCATGCCCACTTGTCACATCCTCTCTTTTACAAATTATAAATAGTTCTCTCTGACATTATATAGTCATTATTTATAACCTATAGAAATCCTAGGTTTTAATTTATCAAATGATGTACTATATTACACTGCTTTCTGTACAGAGTATTGTTTACCTTGTCTTCACTTTGAAAATTTCTCTTGCAATATTCATATCAACAAGCTTAGCTAAATTTTTAAAGGCTCTTGTTGCATAGTTAGAAAGCCAGATACACTATGTTAGTTATAGGATATTGTTTGCTTTATACTTGTTATTATTCTGTGTTCTTAGATATATTACTTAATTAAATAAAAATTATTTAGGGTACTAGTACCATTAGTATAAAAAGGCATGCTCCACTTTCATAAACAGTCGACAGTGAAAAAACAAGACATAGATAAGTACTATATTTCTTGTTTTTTTATGTATATTCTTTATTTATTATTATAAATGTAACTCGAATTTAAAATTAAAAACTTTGTAGATTAGATTAGGTAAAATAATAATAAAAATTCTTCATGAGATATGCTTGTAAGCAGCTCGTGAATTATGTAATTCAATATGGTAACTTGAGCTATGCATTCAGCGAGTGATTTCCAACTTGTGTAATGGATTATTAGTTAGATATGGGTCAAAGGGCAATAAAATTTAAGTATTAACATGAACTTTAAAGCTATGTGTAATAAACAATTGTAGTTTCCTGTTACAATTTGCAGTCATTCGAGAAAGAAAAAACGGAAATTTAGATTTACTTAATATTTTTTATTGATCGATTGTGTATAGATTTAGGGTAGAGAAAATAACAGATAAAATATAAAGTTTTACTGAAAAAATGTCTCATATTTATTTGCGAGGTTTTAGAGATTATGCGAATTAAATTTAACAATTTTCAGTTGAAGAGAAGTATTTTTAATCTTAAAATGAAAATCACTTTGCACTCAGAGCAGTTAACACTCTGGCTCCATATATTCATGGACAAATTTTTAGTAAAAATATTCAATTACAAAAATATGATCTTTTGTGTATGAAAGACTAGTAATGTTTACTGAAAGCTTGCCAAATTTCATGAAGATACACAAACCATATTAAAAGTTACAGTATGGAAACTGTGAGGGTCACTTTGGGGTCACAAGGTCAGTGTAGTCCACTGAGCCCATAGCAAGAGGGTTAATGCAATCATTTAAGAGATACCACAGTATTTTTATAATGACTAGTTATGGATGTGCTTCTTGCAGCTGTTTTTAATTGATAGAAGACTAGCTGTACATACAGGAGTCATACAATAATTAAAACATGTATGTATCGTAAAGCAAAGTTAATTCTGTGAGTTTTCTTTGAAATTTCAAAACCTATAAAAACTTGTTTTACAGAAATAATGTACTAAAATATATTATAGTTTTAAAACAATAGAAAAACAGGTTATGATCTGTATTGGTGACTTTCAGTGCTATGCATATAAGGTTTCTATTTAACCTAAAAAGATAAATTTATGTGTTAATGGAAAATGTAGTAATGAGTATTAAAAAATTCTAGTTTAGGGAATGTAAAGTTGTATTACCAAATAACAGATTAATAGTAAAAGTTTTAAGAATGTTATTCCAAGATTTAAGAATGATTTCATATATATAAATCAACTTACTGGCTCTGTATTCTCTAAACACAAGTAATATTAAGAATAATAATTCATTCTCATAGGATGCAAAGTTTGGCTCTGAATTGTGCATTTCCTTTAGGAATGTAACTGGAATTATATATATTTCGATATTCCTTTGAAAACCTTTAAATTCCCACAGAAAATTGTGGAGTTATTGTAGGTCTGTTTTTAAACTAAGCCTAAATTTATGTATAAAAAAAAAGTTTGAGTACTACTTCACTCTTTTTTTACTGTTTTAGAAGAACTTACATCATTAGATTATATACACAATTTACAAGTTTAAAAACGTATAGCTTTCTAACATGCTAGTCCTACCTATATAATCAAATCAGATTAGTTTTGGCAAGATTGTTGAATTTAACATGAAAAGTGTCAATCATGGAAATTTTGTGATTTTTGAGCAGATGATTGATGAAGTACAGGAACAAAACCTGTATATGGGGCACTTTTTCAACAATTAATAATAGTAAAAGCTTAAAAATACATTTAATGTTAGAGAAAATTAGTAATGTGAAAATAAATACTTTGTTGATGAATAGATAAAGAAGTTGTTTTTATAAGTTGCAGTGTTTCCTCATATCTTTATGCTGTTGTTAATGTTAGAAGCCAGGTTTATCATGCAACATCTCTTGAACTGCATTCGTTCATTAGCAATTCCTGCAGACACTTCTACTGTGTTACATGAATTTTTACCACACCTTTTGCAAGTATGATGGAATGCCAGACTTTGTCACGTTATGAATGCTTCCATTGGTTGGAACTTACTCACAAAGCATTGCAGTGCTTTGCCTATTCATAGACTATGCCTCATTTTCTTAGCAATTCAGTATTCCTCAAAGTTGCTGTAGCATTCTATCCATTACCATAGTAATGTACCAACAATTTAATACACCGTTCTAAAGTTATATGTTGACTGTTTTTTGTTCAAGTAGCACTCTTTATCTTTTATATCCATCTGATTTTTCATGTTACCACCTGATAGCAAATTCTGCAATTACCCAGAATCTGAAATATTTCATTGCAATGCACTTCATATTCTGAAATTTGTACAACTGTAGAATCATTATTGGCTGCTGCAGGATTCTGAATTAGCCTACTTATTTTATAATCACCCTGTAATGTGTACAATTTAAGAATATTCACACTGCAATATCCAAATTAATCAGTAGGAAATCATTACTTCATTGTACAAAAGTTAGTTTTAGAAGGGGAATTAGATTTAAAAAAAAAAGACAAGAAGCAAAAAAGAATCTTTTACCAACTGTTGATTGCAGGTAATACGTTTTTGTAGTTCTGTTGTGTTTTTTTACTATGTTATTTCAAAACCATATTAATTCATTTATAGAGTAACCAAAAAAAGTTAGTGTAGTACTTATCTCTTTTTTGTAATGTGTAGCTTTGTATTATTGTTATTTGAAGAGTGAATTAACTTGAAATATGGTTAAAATAATGTTAGAATGAGTTTACAATAATGTTTTGTTTTTTAATTTTAGGCCAGGATAAGTGCACCACCAAATATATCTCTCATACCAGTTTTCTCTGGTCATGCCACTATCTCATCTCACTCTGGTAGACTGACTGATGACACTGGAAAAATAGATACAAAGTTGGCAGCAGAATTGGGATGTAAAAATCATATTGTAGACTCTCTTCAAGAGATACCTGTCCCCAAAAGCCTAAGACCTGCTGAAATTCCTTCAGTCTCATTAGTAACTGGATCATTAAGTGAAGATGTTCCTCATTTGTTGCCACAACTACATGCACAAGATGGAGATATCATTCAGAGTGTGTCAGGTTCTGACAGTGAGATGGATAGCCCATCTGAAATGTGTACCAAACCCTGCTGCATGAATGAAACATCATTTACTGAAAAGCAGCTACTGGCAGCTTTGGATAAAACAAGAATAGATGATCAGCAATTGATGTCTGAAGAAACATCTCTGAACCTTTCTGAAGGTTTGTGCCATCATTCTTCAGCTGCTGCTGAAATCGTCAGTTCTTCAGAAGCTCCTCAAAAAGCTGGTAGTGTGAAAAAAAACAATACTGTAAATAAAGGTGCAGTTCACACAGTATGATTAGAAGTTTTCATTGATGATGATACGAACAGTTATTAATTATAGTGTATGTATGGATGAACAAAATTGTAAGTTTGAATGAAGTAGAAAATTATTATGATGAAATGGTTATTTGATTTTAATAGCTGTTTTGAACTAAGGTGAATTTCAAGTTTGTGTTGATATTGTTGAGACTGACACACTGCAAGTTAAATGGATCTCATTATTTTGGAAGATAATCAAACAATGGAACTTCTGCATAGTGCAATTATAACTGTTTGGTATAGCAGTGCTCAAACTACAAAGTACAACTTGAGCTGGAATGAGATCTACATCTATAGGTTTTTCATTTTCAAGCAGATCATAATACATGAAATTTTAATATATACATTGCATGTTTTATTTAGCTGTGGCCTTCAAGAATTTAATAATCACACTTATTATGTTTTCAACAAAAGAAAATTAATTTGACATGTAGTTTGGACAAATAAATTTTCCATCAAAGATTCAAATAAGCATGTTCTTATCACTTCCACCCATTTTTAATATTAGTAACTTGCACCTTCAGCCTGCATTAGTAAAGATTTCTTAAAATACTTTTGCATGGGTTCGTGCTCTAAGGAACAAGGCTTCTTCATAGCCAGAATGTATGATTTAAAAATTAGGTCTTTAAAATTGCTTGCTGAGATTTATTTTGTATTAAAATAAATTTTTGTAGAAACTGTTAATAGCTTTTCTGAACAAGTAATTACAGTTTACAAGTACTTGGAAGTGAATTCATAATGACTGTTTTCAAAAACAATTTTTCACATTCTAATGAATAAAGTAGCTTATCAAAAAACTTAAATATTTGTTTGTTTTCTTACACAAGCGCATGTTAAATATTAAGCGGTGTTGCTTAAAACATGTTAGATCTTTATGCATACAAGTTAATAAAAAAAAAAGTTGTTACTTTTCATTAGGACCCAATCTAGCAGACTTCCATGACATTCTAATAAAACAATAACCTACATTCTCACTTGAAGAGTGAGTGGGATTAGAAATGCATTGACAGCTAAGATACTGTGTGTGATATCTCTGCTAAGCAACCAGTTTTGTAGATTTTCATAGCAGCTGAATTCAAAAAATAACTGAACCTTTTGTGAAAAAGATTTTATAGATGTGTAAACAGTAAAACTAGAGCATAGTTCTAAGCAACCAATCTTGTATCCTTAATATCTGTGTGAGTAAGAAATTAATTGCAACTCGATTTAAGGTTTGCTGTGCATAAGTACTGAAAAACTGAGGTTGGAGAAACTACTTCAAACTACTTTAAAAACAGTAAATATTCTGAATTCTAGTTATTTATGCATAATTGTATAATTGCTGAAATGAGCATTGTATAGCCTGATGTTTAGGGTGCTTAACTCACAGTCTGCCTCTCATGGGATCAGGTTTGTTTGTTGCCAAACATACTTGTTCTTTCAACCATGGGGCAGTATAATATGATGTTCAATCCCACTATTTGTTAATAAAGAGTAACCAAAGTCTATCACTTCTAAATTAGGGACAGCTAGCACTGATAGTCATCAAGCCTTATATTAAATTTCACGAAACAGATATTGATTTGTGGAACCAAAAAAAAAACGTATTAAACTCTGTAAATTGTAGATGCTCTTCAAATCAAATGGTTTACAAGTACAGATAGTGTATGGATATTCAGTTCTCTATGTCACCAGCTAAATGACAACTGTATTTTCTGATCATAAAATGACTTAGCTGTACTGGAAGCTGCAGAAAGATTGTATTTTAAATAAGGGAGTTAATTGTTGTTTACAAGAAGATCTAGAATTATGACAAACTTGCTGCTGTAATTGGAAATCATGCTTTGATATTTTCTGTGAAACATTTATGATTGTTGATTACTATCATGCACTCTCATCAGATCAGTGGATAGACATTGGTTTGGTCACAGTTAAGAAAACATTTAAATGTTTGCTTAGATAAAATTGTGAATATTAATGATAACCTGTGCTGCATATAATCTGATTAGTGTGCTTAAAAACACAGCACTGATAAGAACTTTTGTACAACTTGCAATTTGTATTTTTTTTGTTAGGATCATTTTGATTGGACCTTAAAATAAACTACAGTAGATAGCCAACTATTTATCTTTATAAAAGTTTACCCAGTGCTTGAAGTGGAGGAAGCAAGATGGTGTGTGATAATTTTGAATATGAAAAATATAAGAAAAAATAGCCTAATTGATCTGTGTATAGTTTTAGAGTAGGCCAACATGTATCAGCTTGAAATAGTAACTCTAAATTGTTATAGTTTATTAACTAAATTTGTTTCATTGTTGTTTTGTGTTGCATCTTGCTGCCCATACTGATGTGAAAGGGAGAGGAAAGAGAAGGTAAGATATTTGATGTCGCCCTAGGCAACTGTAAAAGTACCGGTGTGGTTTCAAGTCTATTAAAAGGTAGTAAGATGGTTTTTGGCCTTCCTGAAAAGAAGTAGGATGGCATCCCTCTTCATCCTGCTCCACTTCAAGCAATGACTTTATCTGTTTGTGGTAGAGTATGTTTTAAAAAATGTTTTTTTTCTACTAGTATAAAAAGAGAGAACTAAAAGTTTTTTGTTTTTTTTTCACAAAAATATTGCATTCAGTTAAGATATTCTGAGTATGGATTTTGTTATAAAAGATAACCTGTTATTTCAACAAGCAAAAAATACTATATTTTGTATGATATACCCAAAATATGGTGTTTTTGTAGCAGATAATCTCTAATCTATGACACACAAAATATTGATTTCACTCTATATCCTAAGTAATATTTTTTAGATCTAGCAGTTAATCTACCCATAAGAGGTAAAATACTGTATTCTGTCTGATATCTCTTTAACATAATTTTTCATCCTAACAGATAAACTGCTTTGTAGCTCATAAAAGTGTGTAATCAAAGTAAAGTATGTAATAAACATGATTTTTTTTTATCATAGTAGGTAATCTCTCATCTGTGACACACAAAATACTGTTTTCAGGGTCACATATAGTTCTCAAGATTTTTGATGTAAAACAAACACTTTGCAGATGAAGAAACAGCTCCATATTAGCCAAAGGTATGGTTTTAGAGTCCATTACTACTCTTAACACACTGCTATATGAATTTATCACCTTCCATGACAAAATGAAATGAAGGCTCTTTACTTGGACATGTTATGCATTTTGGTTGTACAACACTTATAAATTCTCTTGTATAAATATCCTTTGTCAGAAAGGAGTTTAACAAATCTGTTAGTCATATGGTTGCATCAAAGTGTTGAACAGATGGGACTTTCTTGTGAACCAGATATTCAGAGGATGAATGTGTTATATTAAAAAACGATTTTGGAATTTCACCACATAATTACAGTCCATGTTGCCACATCTAGTCATGCTCTTTCCAATGACCATACACTTTGAAGATAGTACTGCAGTAGTATCCATTGCAAGAGGCTCCATCATAAGGCTCTGATTTCTCAAGCTCCTCCCTCCCTACACCTTTCCATAACCTATCAGTATAGGAGAACAATTGTTTTGCAGGACCTGTTTCGACAGTCTTATCGCACAGCATATGAAATAGCATAAATACCTATTTCGTTCTCTGGCTCCTTGAGGTGTGCGACATTTGAAAGGATATGTCATGAAAGCAACTTGTGTTGCTTTTCCATATGGAAACAATTTTTATGTTTTGCACTGTTATATGGGGCACGTAGATAGCTTTTTCCACTGACTTTTGTGTTTTTGGATTCTCATCTGTTACAAGAGGACACACTTTGCTTAAAAGCTAGGGTAATACTTTGAAGGCTTGGCTGGAGTAGTACTTATTGAATGCTTGGCTGAAGTAGTACTTGTTGAAGGCTTGACAGGGGTAGTACTTGTTGAAGGCTTGGCAGGGGTAGTACTTGTTGAAGGCTTGGCAGGGGTAGTACTTGTTAAAGGCTCGGCAGGTAAAGTACTTGTACGGGTACTCTAACTAG